CATCAAAGTCCCCGACACGATTCGTCCAATCCGCCCCCCACCGATTCTAAGAAATAGAAAGATTCATCCACTTCCCCCTTCCCAACCACCCGAAATATTAAAGAAATCGGGGCGAGAGAAAGAGAAAGCCGAGAGCGCAGGTTTGGAGAACTCGGTTTTTGAAACGAGAGCCCGGAGGGTATATCTCGATGACGGCGGAAAACAGCGAAATCCCGAGCTCTGATTCGCGCGTCGATTCGCGCGAAGAGGGAAATGGGGGTGGAAAGGTAAAAACGGCCCTTTATCCCCGACTCGCCGGGGACTCGTCGTCCATTTTCGACCACACCCCTCGTTTCGGAGGAATTCGAAGGTCGCCTAGCGGGACGAGGAAGGAAAGCTTCCTCCCCTTGTTCCCTCGTGGTGGATAGGGCAGAGCGATTGACCCGAGAGGTTGGAGCGGAGTCGGGCGATTTTTTCACGGAGGATCAACTTGTCCGCCATATTAATGACCACGGTGCTTTGGATTATCCGTCGAGGTTACCCACCGCTCTCCCTTCCTTGTTGGCTGGAGCCAACTTTCTTGGAAAATTGATTGCGCTTCCACGAATCTTCTCTCTCTCTCTCTCTCTCTCGTGCTCTTTCTTCGTGTCTTTCCGTCCCTTCTTCGAAAGGGGCGACGACGAGAGGGGGAGGGGAGAGTCGCCAAGGGAGAAACGATGACGTGGTCGTGGTTGACAAACGGGAATTCCTTTCCTCCTCCGCCACGATCGAGGCTAATTATTTTCTCCGAGACGAGTACCTTTAATTGGTGTTTTCTTATCGACTGTCCCCTCCCCACCCGCCCGGCCGGCGCAAGAACGACAAAAGCCTTCGAGACGCGAATTTCGCGCTGCAGTAATTCAGTTTGGCAAGTTTCTTTCGCGCTTCGAAGTTTCCTGTGAACGTATCTCTGTTTGTCGTACCTCCCCCCTCGAGAACTCGTTAAACGCATGGCAGAGGTCGGGTTTATCGGATACCATAGAGATCTATGGTTACGAAACGAGAGGAGAGGGGAGGAGGGGAATGAGAAAAAGAAATTGCGGAGGTGTAGTTGCTTTGATGTAACGATTACTAAGCGAAAAACTGCTTACGTTTGGAGCGTAAATTGACGGTGGATGAATCTCTCTCTCTCTCTTTCTCTTATTGCGAGAGTTGCGGGGTTGAGTTCTTGTCTATCGAATTAATTCTCGACCAACTCGTGAATCGGCTTTGTATTGTGTCGAATTTTGTCGGGGTAAACGTAAACAAAGACGATTGAAATCAGCTTATTTTCGAGGTTGAAATCGTTTCTTCTCCCATCATCGTACAATTTACTCGTCTGAGGAAACAGTAAATGGAATCGGTGAACGAGTAAAAAATTTTGACCCTGTAACCTCTTATAAATTCTTAAATTCTTGATCGAAAGAGTGGAAATAAAATATTAATATGTTTTCAAGTTGAATAATAAAAAGCGTAATTCAACGGAGGTTATTCGTATTTCAATGAAATAAAATAGAATCCGATCGAGAATCAAATTTCGTTCGGTTTAAATTCCTGAAACGTATAGCCGTTTCGAACGTGTTGCCGATAACCGTGCGTGAGTGTGCGCGTCTGTGTCGAAACGCAACAACATTGCGAGCAAAGAAACGCAATATTTCGATATTTTCCAAATACATTTTTCATTATGAACGATCCTCGATTGTTGCGGCCTCGGAGAAAAGAAATCCAAAAATCTGAGAGAGGGGGTGAATAATTATAGAAAATCGTTTCGAATATTCGGAGGAAAATACCGAAAATATCGGGTTCAAATCAGACGTAAACGTGGAAAGGTGAGCAGGCTGGTGATACGGATCGAGATTCGATTGAAAAATAAAATTTCATTCCACTTTGTTTTACGTATTTACTACGCGACTAGAGCACGAAAGTGCCACAATTTATTCCAATCCCGTCATTCGATCAATCCCTTATATCTACGAACGACGTTACGTATATTAATCCTTATATTCAATTGTTGAAGCGATTAATGCGCGATAAAAAAAAAAAGAAAATAATAATAGTAACTACTAAGAAATAGGACGAATTCCTTTATCCTCACAATTTGAATTTTTGCCATTATTTTTATGATTCTATTATATATTTTATCGAGGTTCGATATTTCACCCGTTATCAAACTTTAATCAAATTCTGCAAACTGCATGAAATGATCTTATGAATTTTATTTCCTTTCCATTCCTACCACTTTCTTCTCTATCGTAGCATTTCGTACACTATAGTATTAGTGAAAATGGAACGAATCGCATCTTCTTTTCAGAACCTTGCGAGAAAACGTACTGTTCTTGGGGCGCGACGTGCGTCGTGTCGGAGAACGGGAAACCTTTGTGCCAGTGTCCTACGGATTGTCCTTCGACTTCCGAGCCTGTCTGCGGCTCCGACAACGTGACCTACACCAACTATTGCCATCTACGGAAGAGCAGCTGCCTCGAGAGAAAAAGCACGCGGGTGAAGAATCAGGGCGCTTGTGGTGAGTATACCATCCCGCCTTTTCGCTTCCCGATCGCCTTTCAACTTTCCAAATGAACAGACAGGATATTGGTAAAAGTTGGACTCTCGAGGGGTGAGGAGGCGGCCGGTATCGCGTCGTTTCGCCGTGATAAACGGAGATAACAAACGAGTATTATTCGGATAACGCCATTGTCGAGGCGAGTGTAGAAAGCATCCTTTCTCCTTGGGTGTAAAAATATTCTTTCTCGAGTCGATAACAAAATAGGTTTATTGCTTCGCGAACAGCACATCGTTTTGCCGTTGCACCGCACTTATAAAAATAGAGGGTCTCTATTTTTTGAACGGAATCTTTGAAACGTTACAAACGCCTTGTTCTCTAAGCTCTTTAAGAATCTCAAAAGCTTCTTTCAAAAGTAATTTGTAAGCTCTCTTCTTTAACAATAGCCAATCAATTGCTTTAGAAAAAAAAAGAAAAACACGAAAAAAACTCGTGATGTAGCTTAATAAAAAAAGTCGTAAAGAAAATTGCGAGAGGAGAAAGTGTCCGCAATCGTTTCTTTTTCCACGTAAATGGAAGATGCTATACAGTTTCACAGTGCGCGTAGCACGATAGAGGAACGAACGACTTCAAATATTTATGAAATCGAACGTATTGACCATAGCAAACAAGTTCTCGTTTCGAAAGGGAGACGTGAAAGATTACGAAGAGAAATCCGACCGATTCTCCTCCCGCGGGCGACAGAAACTCGAACTAAAACAAGTTCTCTCTCTTATCTCCTTTCCTCTCTCTCTCTCTCTTTCTCTGTCTCTTATACGGATCGGAGAGGAAAATGGCGGGGGATTCGCAAATATATTTGCCGCGACGGGTTTATTCGAGGCGGTTTCGATTCCCTAATGGCGTTCGTGCCACTTCCGCGCGAAATTTCCAACCGCGCGGAGATCTGTCGATGCAAAACGGAAACTTATTCCGCGATATCCTGCAATAATGATAATGCCCCGATATCGAGGCAGCCCTCTCCCCGCGTCACGTCCTATTATTCGGGTTTGGATATCGTCAACCCGCAAAAATAGAGACTCAGCCTCTCGATATCGTTGGATCCGGCTGCATCGACACGTGTCACGCTTCTAAAACGCGGCGAGGATATGACGGAGAAGGAGGAGGAGGAGGAGGGTAACGTCTGGCTTTCTGGAATCAGGATTGACGTGTATCCATTTGTCCCGTTGTTAGTAATTCCGAAAGAAATCGCTTCTGGTTTTAACTCCGCTTATTCTCGCCGAGGAGTTCGAAGTTAATCTCGCATTATTATTTTTATTTCGACGTCGGAACGGTGAGCGATTTTTCAACGCGACGATTGAATTATATTGCGCCAAGATTTTAAAAAAAAAAATAATAAACCGTCGTTACGATTCCGCCTATCGTCAATCTTGTCGATAGACAAAGCCAGTTTCGTCGTTCTCTTCTCCCCGGGAAAATGGGCCGTTTAAAAAAAAAAAAAAAAGAAGAAGAGAAAAGAAGGAAGGAAGGAACAAAAATCCTCCGAGTTGCACTGTATTAGTTTTAAAATTTCCGGTCAGGGTGGAAAGAAAGTTGAAAGAACGGCTGAGATCACCGAATAAGATCTTCCTTAGGTACTTTGTATTAGTTTTAGAATTTCTCTCCCTCCCAGGAGAAGGAAAGTTAAGCCACTGAAAAAAAAATTACATTCAGTTTGGGGTAGTGGACTAGTTTTGGCTTCTGGAAAATAAGTTTCCCGTGTCCTTCGAGTTACCTCTCCCTCCCTCTTTCCCCACGGTGTGCAACATTCAAAAACTCGTTACAATTTTTCCAAATTCAATATTAATCTTATTTTTGAGTCGAGGAGGAGAGGAGGGAGGGTAGACAAAGTTTCGAGAACTTTGTCAATAAAAAAGATGACGCGCGCGCCATCGATGCATCCTCTTTGAACCTTAAAACAAGCGCTATATATCCCACGACACAATTACGAGACGACGTTATTTACATTTAATTGTTCCAAGCGTTTAAACGTCGCTCGAACCTCTCCCTGCGACGTCCATTTATTCAGACTTTGAAATTCCGAAATAAAGCTCACCCGGAACGGGATCGATCAATTTTCGCGTATTTTTATCCACGAACCGGATATATAATGCGTGCACGGTATCAGAGAAGAGAAAATGATCGGGGGAGGGGAGGAAATTCGAAGGCAGGGTGGAGAAGGGAAAAACAGAGCGCCTCGAAAAAAACGTATTTTATCACTATCGGATCTCTTTTTGCCTCGCCCAGTCCGGCCACGATCTTGCCACCATGAATTAACCATCGCCCGATACCCGATTTTTGCCTCGAAACCTCGCGCGCCCTTCCAGCGCCGATTCTCGAAAACGATCTTTTATTCAAAGCGAGCCTACGCGCGCTTGTATCGACACCGTGTCGGTGTACCTCTTTTCTTCCTCTCCTCGGGAAAGGGGCAAATCTTAGGGGCTCTCTGTTCTCATGGAATGTATTCACCGATGGATCGAGAGGGGAACAGCTGGACGAGAGCCGGTTGCGTGCGCGTCCGTGGAAATTACTTGGAATTCTTTCGAGTTTCTGCAATTGGGAAATGGAATGATGATTTGAAATTTTGTGGAATAATGTTTCCAATAATCGAACTTCTCGAACCTGAGAGTAATATTTTTAAGGCACGAGTACGTAGAATTGTATACCAATGAAGGAATGGTATGTGTGGAGAGGGGAGTCTGTTCCATTCGAAACGAAAGATTGACGAGAGGGATGGAGATAATTTTGGAATGGAAAGAAATATATTGACGAACGAGCGTGGATCATTTAGGGTAAGAACGTAAATAAAGGGGGAAATTTATTAGCCCGAAATTTCCCATCCAGTTTTCAAAGCCGAGCACAAGTTTAATCTAGTTACGTTGCGCAAGTTCTTCGTTACACAACTCAACCTTTGTACTTCACGAATACATTACGAAGTAACTACGGAACACTTCGTTATCGTCCATGGTATTATAGTTGCAATTATTAGGCAAAGTATCGAGGCAAACTGTTCTCCCTCGATGGTGAAATAATATCGAGCAAGATTGGTGGTGGGATTCGGATGGAAGGGGTGGGGGAGGAAGATTCGAAAAAGATAAAACGAACGATCTTTGACGTGGCGGAAGAAATTTTTCATCAAGCTCGAAAATATTTCGGGAATGCGGAAAATTCGAAATTGGAACGTAACGCGTTTATCTCGAAAATTCCCCCCCCTCCCCTCTCCTCTTCGATTCTTCATGGATCGTTGGACCCTTTTACGGCGAGAATTAATTTCGCTCGCGTGCCATGAAATTTAATATTATGCGCAACCAGCTCCGATGCATAATTTCCACCGTGGCGCTCGTTCAAAGTCTATCGAAGACTTTCGACAAACTTACGGCCTGCTTGCGTCTCCGTCCCCTTCGCCCTCTTCCGCTTTCAATTACTCCCGGAGACAAGCCAGAGATCCTGAAATGTCTGGAAATGACGCGCAAGATCGCAATTGTTGGAAAGCTCCAAGCTTTTTGCTCCAGTTTAAGTGAAAACACTTCGTCGACCGTGCCTCGTCGCACGAACCTCTCGTCCTTTTATCAATTTATTCGTTGCAACGTGGATACGATATGGAGAGAGAGAGAGAGAGAGAGAAAGCTTCGAACATTTATATTTTGTTCACGGATCGATACACGTGTTCGTTCAAATTTGTTTCGAAATCGAGAACCTGAAAAGCACAAACACCGCCCGATAAATCAAACAGATATTAAAAATTGCTATTAAAAATTCCAGAGCATGAGTAACAAGTGTGTATATCTGAAACAAATATGAGGTATGGACAAGGTACGATATTGTTCATTTTTAACGATGTGGATTTTTGAGAGAACATTTTTTTTCCCCCTCCAATGTTAGTTTTAATACTTTAAAATCAAGTTTGGAGGGGGGAGGGGAACAGAATTTCGAATAATTACATCTATCGAACGAATGAAAAAAATTATTTTTTATTACGATCGTTTCTTTCTTTCTTAACAACGTCGTGAACTTTTATATCTTTTATTTTATCTCGCGTTTAAATATTCATAAAGAATTATTCATTTTAAAATAAAGCTTCTATCGAATTTAATATTTTTCACATTTACTTTTTACGATATACGGAATTTAAAAGTTCGAAATGTTGATTCTCTCTCTCTCTCTCTCTTTCTCCCTCTCGTGGATGAAGCCATCGATGAAGCGATAGTTCAGAGAACAACGATGGAAAAAAGTCTAGAGAGAGAAAGAGAAAGAGAGAGAGAGTGAGAGAAGGAAACGAAGGATATCGAAGGAAAAGGGGGAAAAAAGGGTATCCTCGATTCGTAACTTCTTCTCTAAAATCGAATTCAGACTCTGGGGTACACGTATTATCACGCCACCCGTTTCCCTTATTCCCTCTTTTTATCCACCTACTTTCCTCCTTCTTATCTTATCGGGCGTAGTTCTGGTTCATTGCGAGCTCGTTCTCCCAGCCGGTAAGATACTCCGTGTTATTAAACAAGACCCGTAATAGTAATGATACTTAACATCAGCCTCTGTCTCCCGTTGAAGTAGCCAGCCTTTTTAAATTTCTATATTACATCGTATCCTATCGGGAGAGAATTTTCAAACCTTTTTCCTCGCTAACCGCGATTATTAAAGCGATATTTAAATTAGAGAACAGAGAGAGAGAGAGAGAGAGAGAGAGAAAGATCGTGAAATTTTATCGTTCTCTTTTTTTTCTTTTTTTCGAAAGCGCGCATGGAATTCTCATTCGGCCAGCATCTTTCTAACAGCTTTCCCATGTGCACGTAAATTATTATGCGAGCAAACAATGCGGTACTGGCGTAACAGCATCGTGTAAAATAGCCGAGTGTCCCTAGCGGTTTCTCCGGACGAGTTTTCCTTCTGATGTTCTCTCTCTCTCTCTCCCTCTCTCTTTCTCTCCATCCACCTGAGTTTCTCGTTCACGCGCTCCCCGTGTTGTTTAAAGTATCTCTACGCCA